ATATATATATATATATGTATATATATATGTATATATATTATATATATATATATATATATATATGTATATATATATATATAATATGTAATATATATGTTATATATATATATATATATTATGTATATGTATATGATAATATATAATATATATATATGTATATATATATAATGTATATATATGTATATATATATATATTATATGTATATATTATATATGTATATAATATATTATATATATATGTATGTATATATATATATAATATTGTATATATATATATATATTAGTATATATAATGTTATATATGTATATAATATATAATATATTGTATATATATATATGTTATATGTATATATATATATATATATATATATATATTATATATATATATATGTATATGTATATGTATATATATATATATATGATATATATTATATATATATATATGTATATATATATATGTATATATATATATATATATGTATATATATATGTATATGTATATTATATATATATATATGTATATATTATATGTATATATATATATATATATATATTATATATGTATATATGTATATATATATATATATATATATATATATATGTATATATATATATATATATATATATATATATATATATATATATATATATATATATATATGTATATATATATATATGTATATATATATATATATATATATATATATATATATGTATATATATATATATGTATATATATATATATATATATATATATATATGTATATATATATATATATAATATATATATAATATATATGTATATATACATATATATTTATAAATGTATGTATATACATATTATTTATATATGTATTATATAATATATATTTATATATGTATGTATATATGTATATTTATATACATAAATTGTGGTATCCATAAGATATAATTGGCCTCAAAAATTGTCTTGTTATTCCCAGCCCTTGTTTTTATTAATACGAATAGGTCAGTTGTAGACCTGAATCAGATTATGCTCAAAAGGTTTGTGGTTCTGTGCCCGTTTAGATTTTGAATCCTGATTTGAGATTTTTTTTCTGCCTGTCCCATTTTCTCATTGCTTGTGATTTATTTGATGTAATCAAAAGAACCTAAGAGTAAAGGCTTTAAGATTTGAAATGATGGAAAAGAAAATTGTAGACTTATTTATTTAATTTTTCTCTTTTTGCAACTCCTTATCTGTTTTACCCTCATTTCCCCAAGAATTTTATTTTTTATAATGATAATACTGCATGAATAATGAATGGAAACTGCAAGAAGTGGTTATTTTAGTCAAGATTTTTGAGATGGTGAAGGTCTTGGGGAAAAAAAGATCTGGTTATACTTAATGTTACATATTTCAAGGTTGACGTCTGCATTTTTGTGTGTGCTGCACCAGTGAATATTACAGATGTGATCAGCTAATTTTAGTACAGAGGTAATTGTTTGTAAATATCAGAGAGTAAGAAAGGTGTATTTTATTCTTGAAAAAGTGATCTTATTGATATATGACTTTGATAGGATGTACTTTATTTGTTCATAAATATGGTATGTGATTTGATTTCATATTTTAGAATATTTGTAGCATTTTTGTATAGATATAATGTTTAACATCCCATGTTCAAGTGTGTGTGTAGGGAGTTTGATTTTTATTTGTCACAAAAATATATATACTGTAACATTAGCTGATCACATGATGAAAGAAAATTTAGAAGTTATTAAGAAAGGAAAATGTGCTTTTGCTCTCTCTCATATCTTAATTCACTTTTTAGTTTATTCATATGTGACAGCCTTAAAAGCATTTATTTTGAACTATATTGATGCCACTAGAAAATTACTGAATAGAGCATAATTCTCTGTCATTATATGCAACATTGTCAGTACTTCTCTAAATATCCTGCTGTTCGTTTTCTTTTGAATTTGGCAATGTTATGGAAAGTGTTTACACAGTTTACTTGATTTAATGCTGTATCTGTGAAATATTGATTATGCATTCCTTGGATATTATAAAAATGAAAAGGAAATCTCTCAGTCCTGGTGCATATTGTATTTTGAAATAAATTAATACTTTATATCATTATAGGTATTATTTTTTTTCTTCCTCTTTTTTGGTGCAACAGCCATCATAGTGGAGTTCAGATTTGTTGCATTGGGTGATGTTCCTTATATAAGCACTGCGTTGTTGATGGTTCCATAATAAAATTAAATATTCATAAATATGGTGGTTTTCCTCTTTCCCTTTTGTAAATGTGTAAAAGATTTAATTGTTTAATATGTACAAATAATTTTGTCACAAAAATAATATATATACTGTATTATTAGCTGATCATATGATGAAAGGAAATTTAGAAGTTATTAAGAAAGAAAAATGCGCTTTTGCTCTCTCTCAAAACAGTATGTTATTTACTGCCATTACCTTTGAAAGTTCCTCAGATGGATATATATTTTAAAACTGATCCTTCAACACAGTTTTGCTTTAAAAATTCAAGGAATTCTCTTTATAAAGTCATACTTCATAGGGGGTAATAAGTTCTAAGAAGAATCTTATTTACAGGTATT